ACGCTCGCTCGTATATATACGCACGAAGCGTGGCGGGCGCGCGGCAAGTGTCGGTCCGGAAGAATATTAAAAGAAAATATAAAAGAAAGAGAACAAGAGAAACATTTTAGCTGTATATGTAGCAGTCGTATAAATGGGGGCACGAGAGGTAGAGAGAGGAAAAAGCTCTAGGGGAAAATTGCATCCAGTACATACGGTGTACACACTAGCTTCACGTACTCACACACACGTATATACAGTCTTTGGCGCCCACGACAGGAGTAGTGGTAGTAGTGAGCGAGCTATGTGCGCCTCGCGTCGCAGGTAAGAGTCACGGAATCTAGTGTGCGCCGCGCGCGGCACTATCCAAACATTGTTGTATCTACCAGATTGCAGGTAAATAAAGCATTTACATACGAGAGAGAAAGACTATGTGTGTGCAACTACGGCAACGACGACGACGAGGGCGTATATATAAACTTCTGAGAAACTATTTCAACTTTGTGCACTCGTAAAAGGAAGCACAAGCGCGCAAGGCAGCAGGGAGTGGAGGTATAGAGAAACGAGAGGGAGCGGCCTCTCTCGCTCTCAGCCACTTGACGGATTCACTATTATAGATTCGTTTCAGCTTTTCTTCTCGCTCTTGAAGAGAGAAGGAAAGAGAGAGAGAGAGAGAGAGAGAGAGAAAATGAGAGCGAGAGAGATGGAAAAAAATCGCAAAGCGCAAAACTCGGCGTAGGCGCTCTTTGTTGCACGGATAAATTTCTTTCTTTGCGATGTTGGAGGCTATAGGAATAAATGAGCTTTTCTTGGGTGAACTGATTGCCCCGGTGAGCTCGACAAAAGAAAGCGACGAGGAAAGCCAGATAGAGAGATTAAAGAATCGAGCCGAGTAATTTGTGTGTGTGTATGACTTTAAATTGAACGCGAAGAGAGAAAAAAAACGGACGGAAAGGAGGAAAAGTCCAGAAAGCTCGTTCGTTTTAATCGAACCGGAGATGCGACGTAAATGGAAGATTTTCATCCGCATCGGTAACAGCAGCGGCAGCAGTAGATAGCGAGAGATCAAAAGGCACGACAGATATGGGCTATGTACACACTGCGTAGCTGCACGCATGGAATCTTCATGATTCGGTGGTGGTACTGGCGTTCGCGATCGAATCGCACCAACACGTACATGCATGTGTGTGTGTGTGTTATAGGGTACGGACCGCCACCGATGACGACGACCACAAAGGTGTACATCGAGCTGCAATCCCCCCCAAATCGAGCTCTCTCTCTCTCTCTCGCTTTGGGGGCCGTCATTGGCTGCAGCAGCAGGAGAGTCATGCCGGTGCATATAGGCACGCGCGCGCGTTGAAAACCCGCACGTATTATACACGTTCGCGCTCCGGCAAAGGGATGGTTGTGTATGGATGTGTGTGCTACCTCTCTCTCTCTCTCTCTCTTTGGCAAAGGCTCAATCTAATCCAAAAGCTAGCGCGCTCAGCGATCCCGCAGCAGCAGAGCTAGCTACACACAAACCGGATATACTGCGCCTGCACTCAGCCTCGCACCGGTATATACTTATATACACACACACAGAGTCAAATGAGTGTATATAAACCTCTTTGAAATAACCTCTACATTAGAGGCTATGCGGCAGTGGCAGTGTCACATACACACACAGTTACTACTACTACAACTATGACTTTGCTTCTCGTTTCATTTAACCTCTACCCTCTCACTTTGAATTAAACTCGTCGTCCAGAGACTCCATTAGGTCGAATGGCGCGTAATTAAGCGCAGTCGTAAATTACCCCTCTCTCTCTCTATATATATACTGCGCCTTCTTTCTCTCGCACTCAATACCTGCTGCTGTCCCCCTACTCCTTCTAGTCCTCGCTCGCTCGCTGCTGCTATCGATAGAATTCGAACCTGAACCCAATGACAATTTATTTTGCTGATTATATATTCTCCTCCGGCTATATATATTATATAGCTCGAGCAGCTGTATGCATTGGCTATTGAGCCTCAGCTGGTGCTGCTGCTTTACGCACAGGCTGCGCAACGACGACGACGACGACGACGAGGACGACATTCAATTGCCTTCGAGAAAAGGAATAAAAGCTCTTGGAGAATATCGGGTGCAAGGATCGAGCTTTGCAAGTCAACGAGTACTATATATTCTACTATACTACAGCTCCTTCGTTACACACGCATACACTTATACACAAAAGCTCTGTAAGACCAAGTTATTTTCTAGTTTGAAAATTGAGAGCAGCACGAGGACGACGAACAGCAGCCCTTTGTCGAAAAGTTCATAATCTTGTAATGAGACGACGACGTGGCGCTGCAGCAGCAGTAACAGCAGCTGCTGTTGCTTTATTGTCAGCTCTTCTTGGACCATCGGGTATATTATACAGTAGTACAACGTGGCGCACACGAGATACTCGTCAAGCGATGAAATTCCACTGTCGAGAAAGGGCTAGACCGTGTCAGTACGGGCACGAGATGGAGCACACCCAAATTCCACCGGAGGCCTACTAGTGAGAGAGGGCCAATGATCGCATTACATTTCACGGGATTCCATTATTCTCGCTAATGACTTCTACTACTGCAGCGCAGAGGGACGATGGTGATGATGAGGCTCGAAGGTCGTCGGATATCGAGAGCTTGCACACTTCGAAGCGGCGTTCGTACTCGCAAGTGATGGACACGTACGAGCTCTCGTATATTTTTTCAACCTTTTACTACGTATATATCGTTAAAGAGAGGGATAAATACGTCTGGGACGAACACAGTGGACTGCCGCCGCACCCGATAAACGCTCACTCTCTCGAACGGGGGTAGTAGATAAGTTTCGTATTCGTTTTGCCGCGCGGCGCAAAAGTTTTTCCTGCGTTACGTACGTCAGAGAGAAAAAAGTCGGACTATATCAGCTCTGTGTGTGTGTGTGCGAAAACGAACGAGTCGAGAGCTGAGCGAGAAAAAGCCTCGACCAGAGAGAGTGAGTGTGGAGATGAGTCTGCGCGTGCAGCAGCAGCACCTCTCGAGAAAGTGATGCTGCTGCTCTGTTCTCGGGTCAGCGGTCGCTATTTCTCTCTCTCACTCCAACGCTGCATACCTATATACACTGTCTTCTAGCTCCTCGACTAATTCACATGGCAAATTCCAATTGGCGCACAGACGCACACACACACACACACACACACACGTACATATATCTATAAGTCATACAAAGCCCATCCAATTAAAGCTACGGTATAGTGGTACGGAGCCGTCGCCTGGAAATCGTATCTGCAGCTCGCTCGAGAGTGACGAGTGTGCGGCGCGGGTACGCGCGCGACAGGTGAAGCTTTGGCACGACCCAAGGCTAATGACCGCTTATTAATTGAGCGTGCCGGAGCGACAGCATCCACTGTACCACCACCACCACCACCACTACTACTATCTACACACTCGTGCACATGCACACATATGTATGGGTTCTACATAGAGAGAGAGAGAGAGAGAAGAGAGAGACCGTCTGCGCACTGCTCACGAGGCGAACTTTCTCCGGCTTGTGTGTAGTGCTGCTGCTGCCCCGAGTACAGTATTCTATATATACGTATAGGAGAGCCCGAGCCAATGCACTTAACTCTATAATGCAATCTTGATGCTACACAAGAGCGACTATATACTACACATACGCCTATACTATGTATATACATCGAGTCACCTTTCCCGAGGCAGCAATAATACCTATACACATCACACATACACACAGCAGATATAGTACGCGCCTCTCTGCAAACGTGCGATGCTCTGCTCTGCTCTGCTCTGCTTTCGAGCCGTGTGCGAAAGGAAAATGGAGTGCGCTTACATTTATTACGTTAGCACTCGCCGCCGTCGTCGTTATATGGAGCACACAGTTGCTTCTTCTCCAGTTGTGTATATAGAATATGAACGACGGCACGTCCGCCAGCTCGCGAGCTGCTGATATGTATACTATCGATGCTATCGTACATCGACTTGTGTGCGTCAGGCCTGCGTGTCGGGGTAGTGAGTATCGACTGTCACAAACGTGTGTATGTGTCAACGATGCAAGCTCATATACCATACGTTAGTTCGCGAGGATCTTTATTTTACCGTAGTCGCGCGCGTATAGTGAAAGTGCTGTACCGGGGGAATGGCAATTAATCCTCCCAACAGAGGTATGCACTCGCTGCGGTTTACAGTGCGCGTTACGATTATCCGAAATCGGTGGGCTTCCGCAAGCTCTTCTCGCGCGCGGCAGCTTTCGCGCCTAGTACTGCCCTACGAGGAAAGCTTCCTGCATTAAAACACGCCACACGCATCAACGTGTATATTTTGACTCTCTCTCTTTCTCTATCCTCTTGGATTATTCGACTCGATTAGCCATAGCCTGCACATGCAGGTGAAATCGCGCCTGAAATATTTATTAGCGTGTAATATATATAAGGGGGGACGACGGGCAATACGTCATCTCGGCGCAGCTATCTCTAATAATAATAATAATATGTTTAAAAATACCGTATGCAGGATCCGTGACGAGGAGCGTCGAGGAGGCATAAATAGCTAAATATTGTCGCGTGACTCTCTCATCGGTGATTCATCGGCTGCGTCGCGAGCGAGAAACTTTCTCTATAAATGCCACATTGCACAGTGCCGCGCTGCATCCATGTGCGCTTGTGCGCGTTTCTTTATGCAATCGCGTTGAACGACGTTAATCGATCCTGCGCGCCTTTGTGCGTTGCGAACATTACAAATGCGCAAAACAATAAAAGTCGAATTGTGCTGTACTGAACACACACACGCAACTACACGCGGCCGTCCATGCACAGCCGCAGGCGGTGTATAACGTAATAATTGTTGAAGCTCGACGCGCATCGCCTATATCGCATCGAAGCTTATTATTATACGTATCATTCACGCACACAAAGCTCGCTTATATTATGTATGCACGCGTATAGAAGCGACTTTTCCTTATACATTGTGTGCGCGCGCGCGCGCGTTGAAATATTTAATCCGCCATTTACCTTTAACTCGAAGCGCCACAGGAGGTGCCGACAGCTCTCCGCGCCGTTAAAATTCCTCCTTCTCCTCTCTCCTTCTCTCTCTCATTCTCACTCTCTGACTTGGTACATATATATGGGAGAGCTAGTAGTGCGCGAGCCGAGAGAGAGAGTCGGAGAGGCGTTAATGGACGATTCTCGTATATAGAGAGGAGAGCGGCGAGAGTAGACTAGCGCTACGTAGTCGTGGTGGTAGGTAGCCCCTGCTGCTGCCACTGCGCTGATTCTCTAGCTCGTCGCGTTATAGCCACAGCCCACTGTAACAAAAAAAGTCAAGAGAAAAATCAATAAAATACTCTACACACTCGGTGCCGAGCATCGAGACTCTCCTATATAGATGTATGTGTAATACAAAAGCTTATATAGATATAAAGTGTTATGATTTATTCCATTCGACGCCGCCGTTGTCGTCGTCCTTGGAAACGTCGCAGAACAGAGAGAGAGAACGAGAAAAGTTTTCGCGCGCGGCGCACCCCCGAAGTAATGTTATTTTTTGTGTATATGCGCGCGTTCTTGCCGCTCGTTCAGGGGGCTGTGTAATGGCTTATATATTTTCCTCCTCCTCCTCTTTCCCTCTATCTCGCTCTAACGCGCCGTTGTGCGTTTTATATTATATAAAAAAGAGTCTTTTCGATGTATTTCGCAGCGCAGCGAGCGAACGCGAGTTGACGAGAATACGATTGAAGCAGACAGCGAGAGAGATTTTTTTTACCCCCCATTTTTTCAACTTCACAACTGCATACGGCACACACGCTGCAGCGAGCGCAAGTGGCGAGTTTGTATTGAACCGTAGTAGGATTTCCATTTGAAGAGCGCCAGGCGACGGCGCGTGCCCTGTCATGCCAATGTCATTCGAAACGATTTTCGTACGCGCGCATAGCACTACTATACACGCTGCTGCCAACATTAAGGAGAATTAATATTTTTTCCATTCATCCCTTTTTTTTTGTACACTTATTGTTCGCTTTCCGATAAAGGAGAGAGAGAGAGAAAAAAATAGACGTGTGTGTGTGTATGTGTAGGCCGGCTCTCGTCGCGCTGCAACACAACGGGGAACAACGGATGAAAGAATAATTGCACGGTCATTTTTCCGATTGAAAGATTACATAAGCGCTCTGGCGGCTCGCAACGCCACCAGATATGGTTATGAGCTTTTGCAGGTGCAGCTGCTGCCGCTACCCCCGCCGTTATATAGCTTCGTCCGCTGCTGCTGCCGCCAAAGAGAGAGCCAAGTTATATGTGAAATCGATTGAATGATTAACGAGCTTGGAAATTATAGATGGAGATGCGCGCACATACACACGCACACATGGGCCTCCTCCACTTACTCTCTGTATGAGCGTAGATATATGTACGCGCGCGAATGTGCACACACTTGCCAAAGCTGCCGACGAGTTAATAGTTTATAGGCGCGTATATATTTGGCGCGAGGTGGAACGACGAGCCAAACTCGGACTATTTTTTTTTTTTTTTTTTTTTTTTTTTTTTTTTTTTTATCGCGATGACGCGTATCCGGGTTATATTCCCGCGATAAAACGCGGCTCGTGTGATTTTTTCGCGATGATGTTTGCCGTGTGCAGCGGAGTCGCGTCGGATGAAAAGCGGGCTTACTACAAACAAAAGAGGGTAAAAAGCGATGAATTTCTGGATTATCGCTGGGGTATATAGGATCGAGCGTATTTTCAAGGTCTCTCGCTCGCGTTTTTAATCCGAAATGTCGAGTTGACAGCCGTACGTCAAAGTCGTCCATTTTTTCATGTTTACAAACTTTGATTCATTAATTCGGATTTGAATTTTGCGCTTAACGTTGTCCAGGATCGATTTTGGTGTGCGTGCAGTCCCTTTAAACTCGATATCAGCACAAAAACACACGTGTGTGCGCGCATGGGAGTATATATACTGCGCGGGGCACCTATACGCGCGAAACGCCCCGACGATTTTCGAGATAGAGGGAAGGCTTAGGTCAGCAGGATTTACGACACAAGAATTGAGAACGACAGGCACAGGCAGCAGTAGTTACTCTCTCTCACTCGTGCGAGCGTGTGTGCGCATAGATATATAGCCTTCTTGCCAGGCTACTGCTGCTGCTGCTGCTGAATGGGCTCTTGGGAGAATGAAGGAAAAGTTTTTTTATATTTTTTTGCCACCTACTCCCTCTCCCTACCCTCGTTCTCTCTCTCTCTCTCTCTCTCTCTCTCTCTCTGTTTCTCTCCATCCCTCCAGCAGGTTGAAGCTTGCACAGACATATCACACATATGATACGTGATGTGTAACGAGAATAATTGACAGGCTGCTGGTTATACACATTTTCTGCTTTACAAGCGTATTCCTTCGCGTGGAAAAAGCTGCTTCGCGCCCCGTACAAACACACACGTATATTATGCGCTCGTACGTGTGTCGATGTTATATCCGCACACAGACACACACATATACATACATGGTCGCGCGCAAGCACGCGAGAACGAGAGAGAGAGAGAGAGAGCTCCGTGCACGCTGTGCAAAATTTATCGGATTTTTCGAGCTCGAACTATTTCATAAAATCGTAAGGATGGCAATAGAACGAACGGAAGCTCGAGAGGGGGTACGACGGTCGGTGCACGGAAAACTGCACGATCGTACACGTATAGAAAAAAAGTCGAGCTTGCGCGCGGTGGATATTATTATTCAGATCTCTCTGGTGGATGCGCGGAGATCGTTGACGCGTGCATCTGTCTATTATTTCGCGCATCCGCGATTAAAACGCACTCCTGTGTACACGTATACGTATGTATATAAGCACATCGTAAAATTGTCGTCGTCGATTGATTTTTTTTCTCTCGAGCAATGAAACGTGGCTAAAATAAAAGAGAGGAGAGAGAGAGAGAAGTAAAGTCGCGAAGAAGAGAGAGAGAAAGAAAGCTCGACGACGATGTGCACGCACGGTTGACATCATCGAGGCCAAAGTGCATTTACCTAGAGAGAGAGAGAGAGAGAGAGAGAGAGAGAGAGAGACGACACAGACGTGTATACGCGCGTGTCTTCGTTAAAATGTCACCAACAGCTCCCGCACACACACAGCTCCGGCAGTGCTCTCTTCTTCGAGATTTATCGACGCGCGCTGCATTCCGATAAGGCTGCCTCGTTGACGGCCTTTTTCTTACCCCGTATATACTACACAGCGTTAAGGTGCAGGAGAAAAAAAAAGACGCACACACACGCCCTTTCGTTTTTTTCCCCTTAGTTATATTTTTTTATCCTTTTTTGCTCGTTCCCTTCTCTCTCTCTCTCTCTCTCTCTCTCTCTCTCTCGACTTAATTTGGCTCGCAGCAGCAGCGGCAGCAGTATAGCAAGTCGGTAAGTTGGCAAGTCCAAGCACGAGCTCTATACGTGCCGGACGTTTGACGAATACTCTAGTCCTCCTCCGCGCCAGTGTGTGTGTGCGCCCAGAGTCGCTTACAAAGCTATATAGGATTGCCTCGTTATCCGCCCAGCAGCAGCAGCGCAAAGCGGGGGTATAGAGATAGATAGATGTATACGTGCGCGCCGCACCGAGACCACGCTATACACACAGTCTTGCTGCTGTGTGTAGTAGCTTAGAAGGAAGGAAGCATTAATCTAAAGGATATATACCACCATAATCATCATCATCATCGTCTTCGTCTTCGTCGTCCTCTATATCTACCACTACGTCGTATATATGGTATAGAGAACGTCGCGCGACCCGTCTTCTTAGTCGTCGTCGTCATCGGATCGTTACGATGAGTTAGATGGAGAGAGAGAGAGAGAGAGAGAGAGAGAGAGAGAGAGAGAGGATTAAATTCGATACACACGCACGAGCGCACACACGTACACAATTATTTTGTTATCTGTATGGCGGTTCACGTATACGCGTATACGATGTGTGGTACTTCGAAGCTCTCGATTACGATACGATATACGGTTTAGCTCGGGTTAAGTGATACATGCGTGCGCGGTACACTGCACGAGGAATGAACCTAAAACTCGCAACTTTGCCACCGGTTCTAGAGCTCTGGCGCTATAATAGTATATTATGATACACCCGGAAGTTTTATTTTTCCCCCGTTGTACCTTTGTTTTATCATTAGTTATAAATTTTAGCTTTCGTTTTATCATCGTTATGAAATAGCTGCAAGATGTGAAAATTGAGTACAAAAAAAATGATAATAACAATTCAAGCAAATTAATAAATTAAATTTTCTGTAAAATATTTTTATTTGAATAATATACGAATATGTTACATTTGAAAGTGCTTAAAGCTCAATTTCTTCGAGCTCTGAGCAGTTCAGCCGCGAAGCAAATATTCATCAAATCTTCGTTCATCAGGTTATCCGCAATCTTGCCGCAGCAGAGAATCGGCAATCGATAATGCAACAGCTCAACCAAAGGATCCAGCGCCCAGTCCAGGAAAAATTTTCTCGAAATTATCTCGCGCAGTGGTTCGCAACACTTTTTTCTAAATTTTATGGGGAACTTCTCCAATTTGTTGGAGCGCGCGAAATCCATGCAGTCCGCGTGATTGATTAATTTTCCAGCTTGTTTCAGTGGTAATTGGGTTAGGTCGTAGAGCGACAGATTCGGTTTTATCATCAGTTTTTTGGTGAAATACTCCCCTTCATAGCACCACGAGTCATGTTCATAATATAACAAACCGTACTTGTTGAATAATCTCATGATAGTCAGGGAGTCGTCACGGTCCAGTTTGTATCCTCTCTCCTTGAGTCGTTCGACGACGCCCACAAGGCCGCATGCTATTTCCAATTTCCAGTGATAATGGCGGACCTTTTTGAGGCACTCGTCGAAATTGTCGAAAGTGGGAAAAACGAAGCCTGACAGGTTGGCCCCGTGATTCAAGAGTGAATCGATCGCGCGCAGCTCGAGGTTCGTCACGGCCCACTGCAGCGGCGTTAGGCCGTTCTTGTCCCGGGCATCGAACCACACGTCGTTCCCGATGTCCTTGTTGACTTTCAAAAATAGCTCCAGCAGCTCGCATTTGCTTCTCTGGCAAGCCAAGTGCGCAGGAGTCTCTCCGTCGTCGTTGGCCGAGTTTGGATCGGCGCCTCTCATCAGCAGAAATTCGACCAGCGTCTCATCTTGCGCCGTCAAATGGAGCAACGTTGCCAATTCGAAATCACTAGGAGATATCGATGCCACAGCAGAGTCTTCATACGGATCCGGGCCTCTACTCAGCCACAATTCGGCCGTATTCGTATCCGTGTTGCGGTAGCGAATGGCATGGTGCAGGGTTGTGTTGCCCCAT